GGTGGGCATGAAGGCCACGCCTGGACCACGTGCAAGTCTCAGCCCCAAGAGGGAGCTGACGGTACAAGGGGGACCCCTGAGCAAGAGGAGAAGCAGGAAAACCGTGCGGGGGGGTCGGGAGGGAGACTGTAGACAGCCGAGCAAGGGAGAGCGGAATTTCGCTCTAGCGAGTGAGAAAGGCTGGGGTGCAGACAGCGAGGGGGAACACCAGTATCTGCAGAGCAATGGAAGCCGGGGGGGGCGGGGAAGGGACCGCCTAGGACGGAGGTACAGGAGCTGGGACAGAGCCCTGGGGGCACCGGTGCCACAGAGGAAGACAGGTCAGAGAGAGGGGCAGGAACGGGGGTTGGCTGTGGCCTTTCCTTCCTGTCCAACAGAGTCCTCGTGATTTTTTAGGAATCCTAAAGTACATCTTTGAAAATGGTCCATGGATCCGTTTGGAGACAAGCCACAAATGCCCACACGGGGAGCCTCGAAGAAACTACAGGAGTTTCACCACTGACTGTACAGGAGAACGTTACATAAATCCAATTAACTGTCCTCCATTTAAAACCCACTCCCACTTCCCAGCTGCATCTCCTGCTCTGCCGTTTTTAGGAGATAACCTGGAAACCCAGGCATGCCTACCAGCTAATGTCCTGGAAAATTAAATGCCCAGTAGAACTGTGCCATGCAGTACTCATGGATTCCACCTTTAACCCCTGTAGAGAAATACTTCCTGCACATTTCTAACTGGATTTCTGACAACAAAATCATCATCTATTTTGACAAATTTAAGTAAAACAGGGCCTCTTTCTTCTCTCCAAACAAGAGCCACAACATGTACCTGCGGGTAAGCACTTAGCCCTGATGTGTCTCAGAATTACCAAGGCATCTGTTGGTATGTCATCTTATGTTTTGTTTTTTTTTTTAAGTTTATTTATTTTTGAGAGAGAGAGTGAGTGAGCACAAGCAGGGGAGAAGCAGAGAGACAGGGAGAGAGAGAGAATCCCAAGCAGGATCCACCCTGTTAGCACAGGGCCCAACCCGGGGCTCGAACCCACGAACCATGA